GCAACAAGAACAATGTCATCCACATACAGAAGAATATAAGCTATGGCATTGCCATGATGATATATAAAAGAGAGTGGTCTGAAATACTGTGAGAGAAACCCATTGTAGCTACATAATCAGTAAAGCGCTGGTACCAGGCACGAGGTGCTTGTATAAAGATTTCTTCAATAAACAGACATGATCAGGAAATTGAGAATTATGAAATCCAGGAGGTTGATGCATGTATAATGTTTCATGAAGATTCCCATGCAAGAAAGCATTTTTAACATCTAATTGATGAAGACACTATGATTTAGATAAAGCAACACTTAGAATTGTTTGAATGGTAGCCGATTAGACCATCGGGCTGAATGTGCCACCACAATCAACACCCGTTTGTTGATTTGCACTATTACCTACAAGGCGAGCTTTGTATCTCCCAAAGGATCCGTCAGATTTCTTTTTATGCCTGAAAATACACAAACTTCAGATAACATTAGCATTAGACAAACGAGGAACTAAGTCCCACGTCTTATTTTCAATAAGAGCATCATATTCGTCTTTTATGGCCATTTTCCAATTTTGATCATTTAATGCATCAATGGGATTTGTAGGTAGAGGGGATATGGAGGTTGAGGTATGGAGATTGAAGAGTTTACGAGGTTTGACAATACTGTGTTGGGCTTTGGTTGTTATTTGAGGGGAGAGAGGAAGTTTTTATTGTGAAGGTGGAGGAGTCAGAACTAATGTAGTGGATGGGGATGAGACGATAGTTGGTAATGATGGGTTTAAAGGTGATATTGTGGATGGGGCTGATGGTATGGTTGGTGAGGTGTGATTGTGGGAGGGTGACAGAGGCAAATTAAAAGAAGATGGTGATGGCTGGTAAATGTTTGTTTGAACTGGTGTAGTTAGGGGTGTATTATGATTTTGACGGTTAGAGGGTGGAGCGCTATAGGAATAGGATGGAAGGAAGGGTGTGTCATCATCCAAAAATTATAGCCAACCATTGTAGGAATATTTAGATTAGAAAATGGAAGCTTGGTTTCATTAAAAATGACATGACGGGAAATAAATATTTTACGGCTAGATAAATCATAACATTTGTATCCTCTATGATTTGAGGGATATCCTAAGAAGACACAAGGTGTGAACCGAGCTTGTAACTTATTCCTATATGATGAAGGGATGAGAGAATAACAAAGACATCCAAAGACACGAAGGTGAGTATAGGCTGGACCTTTTTGGTAGATTATTTTAGTGAGTGATTGTAGGGAAAACTTTTTATTTGGAAGGATATTATGTAGGTAAGTGGCCATGTGTAGTGCATGATGCCACATTGGTGGAGGTAAAGAGGCACGGGGAAGAAGGGTACAGATGATGTTATTTATGGTACGAATCTTTCTTTCGACTTTTCCATTTTGTGAGGTGTGAGGACACGAGAATCTAAATGACATTCCATTGTTTTTACAAAAATTATGAAACATAGAGTTATCATATTCTTTACCGTTGTCACATTGGAAACATTTAATTTTTATTTCAAATTGTGTTTCAATGTGAGTTCTAAATTGAAGAAAAATGGAATGAACCTGATATTTTGTATGAATTGGAAAAGTCCATAAAAAATTTGTGTAATCATCAAGAAACAACACATAGTAACGATGACCTTCTGAACTAAGAATTGGTGAAGTCTAGAGGTCACTATGCACAATATCAAAAGGCATAAAAGTATGAGACACAAAGCTATAAAATTGCAATTTTATTTGTTTTCCAAGAGGACATGAATTACAAAAGTAATTGTTCCGAGACTTATTACATTGGAGAAAGTTGTCTCGGTGTAGAGAACTTAAGATAGTAGCTTCTGGATGTCCTAAATGGTTGTGCCATAATTATGTGGATAAAACGACAAATGTGGATGGTGGCAAGGTTTTATTAGGTGGTCTTGTGGAAATTGGATAGAGGTTACCAGAACTGTTACATTTCATTAACAGTATCCCTGTCTGAAAATTCTTTCGTAGAAAAACCAAAAGGATCAAATTCAACCAACACATCATTATCTATGGTAAATTTATGAACAGAGATAAGATTTTTTATGAGTTTTGGTGCCTGTAAAACATTAGTTAATTTTAGAGGATGAAGGGAGTTTGGTAATGATGCATGTCCACAACCAATTACAGGAATATTTTGACCACTACCGACAGTAATGTTATTACTCATATTGAAGTAGGACGTGAGATTACCTTCGCTGGCTGTCATATGCGAGGTTGTTCTGGTGTCCATGTACCACTGATCATCAGGAGTAGAAAGGGAGAGAGTATGCATGACAACTTGAATATCCGTTGGAGCATATGAGGAGGTTGGCGCTGCATTGGTGACATGAGCTTGGTGAGATGGCTTGGGACCAAGAATGACGGGTTGTTCCTCTGGATTTCTTGCTGTTGAATACGAACAAGGTGGTATAACCCATGGTTGCGATGGCGGGGAGCTCCACTGTTGATATTGATTTGGGTACAGCAGATAAGCCCACTGCTGATGTGGGTAATATGGTGAAGGCCACTGCTGTTACGGAGCACGACCTCTGCCACGTCCATTGTTCCGCCCTCGGCTTCGTCCATGTTATCCTCTGTCATTGCTTCGGCCACCACGATTGTGGTCGCCATTGTTACCGCGGTTAGGACGGGATGTCGATGAATCAATTGGTGTGTCATTGTGAGACGCCATGAAAGATGAATTTTCAACTAAGCTTAACACCTTTTTCTACAACACTGTTTCTTCCAAAATGATCATGGAACGAGCTTTATAGAACTGAGGAAGTGAATCAGCATGACGAATTTGGGATCCCACAGTAGCATATGCATCAGTTAGTCTTGAAATGAGTTGAAGAACTAAACGTTCATTTGATACAGGGGCACCAACATTAGCTAGTTGATCAGAGAGAGACTTGAGATGCTGACAGTAGGAGGAAGCATCAGAGAATTGATCCATATGAGTTCGCGAAAACTCTTGCTCTAGGTAGAGAGCCCTATAATTCTTGTTATCATAAAAGATGTCGAATAAGTGATTCCACACGATTTCAGCGGTGGAATTATGTTCGTTGATAGTATTGAAAAGGTCATCAGAGATTGTTCCATATATCCACTGTAAAACGGCGGCGTCGAGACGAAGCCATAAATGTGGATCAGAAGTTTTGAGAGAGGGATCTGCAGCTGGTTCAGAGGGAATGATATGGTCATTTTGGATCAGAGTGAAAATCTCGAGCATGATTTTCGAAAAGTTCTGACCACGTGTTATATGTGCTCTTTTCAATGCTTAGAGTAATCTTAATGAAATATAATTAGTAATATTTGGGATAGTGAGAGTAGTGTGAGTCGTTGTAGGAGTGAGAGGTGGAGGAAGAGGGTCGGTAGACCAGTGGAGTGTGAGGAAGAGTTGTTGTTGGAGGAATTAGTAGTGGTAGTCATGGCTTTTTTGGGGTGGTTAAAGAGAAAAAAAATGAAAGATAGGAAGAAAGAAGGTTGACGACTGGTTTTAGGGTTTGGTAACAAACCAAGCGTGATACCATGTAAGAGAGTTTAGGTCGTGCCTTTTCATTGATCTGTTAGTCATTTATATACACAAAACAATTATGTGGTTATGATTCTAATAATCATTTGCAATCAATACTAATAATAATCTTTCTATATTTAAATATCTAATAGCTTCAACCAAGAACAATACTCAACTCATGCTTCAAAGCTTCGAGTGAGAATAATATTCAACCTAAATATGTCTACCACGATGCATCAAAAGATACAAAGGGTGACTTACAAAGTCACACACAAGAAACTCTCGAAACCCTAAACCCTTATGTTGCACCTATGGTTTTCTTGTTGTGAATCTTGCATTCTTTAGGTCTAGCAAGTCTTTATTTATAGACTCTTCCAGTATGGGTTTGGACTCTTCAATCAGGTCCAATCTTCACATTGTAAATCTTCAGCAGAATCTTCTCCACAAAAATAGGAACATATCTTTTATAGTTCCCTAAAAAATCTCAAAGATCCTTTTTATGAAATCCAATTTGCACTTTGTTCCTAATAAATCTTCTTGACCTGCACATAATGATGAGAATATCCAAAAGGATCTCATCAAATCAAATTAAATATGTCAAGAGATATAAAACAGCAACACCTGCTGTACCAGACCAAGATGTCATAACATCTGTCTGAAACACATGACAGTAGTACTGCCATGACAGTTGATGCAGATGTTATAACATCTTGCTCAACATCAATATATAACCATGTTTTATCAAAATTTAGCCAATCATAAAACCATAGAATAACAAAACTTATATAAAATATTAAATGATTTAGAAAGATGTCATCATATTAGAATAGGTCATGTTGTTCAAACAATAAATGGATACAGTATCATAAAGATAGATAGATTATTGATAAAATTTATAAAACTGTATGAATAGTATACTAAGCTAGATTAAACTAGATTGTCCAAAAATAATAATAATAATATCAAATCTAATACATTTGATATGTCTAAATCAAAATATTCCAATATTATATTGGAAGTAAGATAAAGGAAGAACTTTCATCGGTCGGTTTATTTTAATGCAGATTAAATATAACTTCCTTAATTTTTAAAAAAATAATAATTAAAAATATACACCTTAATTACAAGAAATTTTTAGTTATTTAAGCACATACACATAAAATTATATGTTATTTAATTATTTCTGTCCAAATTTATACATAAAGTTATACATAAATATTTTAAATATATATTATTTAGTTATTTGTGTCCAAATTTTATTCCCAAATTTTGTCCAAGATGATATGACATGACATTTACCTAAAAGTAATAAGAGCAAAAACATATGTCACATAAAAGTTCTTTCTTACCTATGATTACATTTACACTACACCCACTAACCATGATATTTTCATTTGATTCCCTACCTTCCATCCATTATAAATATTTCTATCATTCTTCAATAAAAGAATCACCTTCACCCACAAGCCACAACCATGTTCATCCAATTCTCCATCCTCTTCCTCCTCTTCACTACACCCTCTAAATCTTTAATCAAAGCAAAACAAGATACAAACAATTTTATGCGTTCATTAGACCTCAAAGAATTAAACTTGGAGAATAAACAAGAGAGGCTAAGCCACTTGAAATTCTATTGGCATGACATAGTTAGTGGAAACAACCCTTCTTCAATGGTAATTGTTCCACCACCTTTGATAAACTCAACCACTGCCTTTGGTTTAGTTAACATGATTGAGAATCCTTTAACCTTAGGACCTCAGTTAAGTTCCAAATTGGTTGGAAAAGCACAAGGATTCTATGCATCAACATCACAAAGTGAGGTAGACCTTATCATGGCTATGAATTTTGCTATCATAGAAGGGAAGTATAATGGTAGCACCATCACTATTTTGGGGAGGAACCCTATTTATGATAAGGTTAGAGAAATGCCTATAATTGGTGGAAGTGGTCTTTTCAGATTTGCTAGAGGTTATGCTCAACTTAGAACTCATTGGTTTTCATCCGAGACAAAGGATGCTATAGTTGAGTACAATATTTATGTGTTACATTATTAATCTAATCTATATGATACATGGTACTATGCTATAGGAGATATTAGTTGTGTATTTTTGTTTTTCTTCTTTTGAGGTTTTGATAAGCACTTTCTTGCATGAAATTAAGGGTGCTATAGAAGGGATGGAGTTGTGTTTGTCATGCTCAACCCACCTCTATATATGTTTTCATTTATATAGTGTATTAGTTGTTGACATGAATGAAATATGAATAGTACTATAATGTTATTATATTATAGACACGCTCTTTGTTTTTTTTTTCTTCCATTAATTAGTTAAAAATGATTCCTAAAATTAAAAAGTAATCAAGACATCTATGAATCTATGATGTATTTGGACTAACTCTGGAATTGAGTTAATCACATGAGTTACATCACACAAAAAGAAAAAACTAGCGTTACACAAGAGTACTAGAAAAGGAAAAATAAATTTATGAAGACAAAAAAACAGGCATAAGATATGCCAAATTACAACAAAATTGCACCATACCACACCGACTAAAACCAACTGACACCCTACTAATTGGCACCTATAACAATAATGGCAATACTATTGCCATCCAACATGCTAAGACACCTGAACCAAAAACAAGATGCTTGAAATACAAACAAAAGCCATCAATTTAACTACATCTATAGATTTTTTTTTATAATAATCATATATTGAAAAGAAATTATCAAAATAATTATTAATTCAAAAAAATTTTTAAAATGGCTATGTATTCAAGAGCAGGTTGCCATTCAGATTGGCAAATGAGATCATTTGAAATTTTGGAAAAAGAGAATTTATCAGGTGAAATGGCAAACGAGACCATTTGGAATTTTGGAGAAATATTTATATTTATATTTATATTTTATGAGAAAATTCCAAATGACCTCATTCGCCATTTCATCTGGCGAATTCCCTTTCTCCAAAATTCCGTCTCATTCGCCAATTTGAATGGCGACTTGCTGTTGAATACATAGCCATTTTGAATTTTTTTTGAATTAATGATTATTCTGATAATTTCTTTTCAATATATGGTTATTATAAAAAAAAAATTCACATCTAATACCAACTTAATACTAACAAGTAGACTTTAAATTAGAGGCGACAATTGGATTCACTACAGAAAAATCCATTCAATCTATCCATTAAAAAATTCATCCAATTTATCCACTATATAAAAATTAAATTAATTAATTGGATTAAATCCATCCATTTATATGTATGGATTGATTCAATTCATCCAACATATTTTAATAATTCAATGAATTATTTTTATTTCTGGTAAATTTATTTTTCTAAAAATAACTAAAAATGAATTTTTTTTAAAAAAGAAAATCAATTCTTTTGTCCCAAAAAATTGACTTTTTTAAAATTAAAATATCAATTTTTTGAAAAATTTAAAAAAACTCGAATTTTCCCAAAAAAATCCGACTTTTTATTTCGAAAAAGAAAATCAATTTTTTTTCGAAAATTAAAATATCAGATTTTTAAAAAATACAAAAAGTCAAACTTTCCCAAAAAAAAATCAATTTTTTTTTCTGAAATAATAACAGATTTGTTTTCAAAATTTAAGAAATTGATTTTTTTTAAAACACAAAAAGTCGATTTTTTCTCAAAAAAAATTGATTTTTTTCAAAAATACAAAAAATCAAAATTTTTTTTCAGAAAATACATTTTTTTCTTGAAAATACAAAAAATAGTTTTTTTTTAAAACACAAAATTTAATTCTTTCATGAAGATATTAAAAAATAATTTTTTTAAATAAAAAAAATAAAAAATTATTGATGGATTAATAGATTATTTTAATCATCCATTATCCATTCAATTTATCCATTTTGCCATTCATACTTTAAATTCTAGTACCAAAATATACATACCAACATATATGAAACAAATATCCTATGCCCCATTCTAAAGAACATAATAGCCCCAGGCCACATGAGTTACAGGATTCCAGCAGTATTCAAACAATAAATTCGTCTAGAAGGATGTCATTCCTGATAGCAATTACCAAACTTGTTACTGTCAGATCAGAAAGTCCGATTCGCTTTGATGAAAAACTCTTACAATTTTTATTTACTCTATCAAATAATAACCTTCGAAATCGAAATACAATAGCAACCCAGAATATTCATTTTTGAGAATGCAAAGAACAAGGTGGTGTCAATGCAAGAAACCTCTCATCACCTTTCTGCTTCTTCCCCACAAACCCAACACTTTTCCATTCTCAACTACTCCTTCATCTCTCTCGCAACACACCATTGCCACCATTCTTCATACTCTCTGCGACTCCAACCGTTTCTCCGAAGCCCACCAACGTTTCTCCCTCTTCCTCTCCTCCGCTTCAATTCCCGATCACCGAACATGTAATCTCCTCCTTGCCCGGTTACTCCGTTCCAAAACCCCACTCCAAACATGGACTCTTGTTCAATCCTTGATCCATACCAAACCTGGTTTTGTTCCCTCTTTGGTCAACTACAACCGTTTGATGGACCAGTTTTGTTTCATTCATCGACCATTTGATGCTCACAGGTTGCTTTTCGATATGAAGAATCGTGGGCATTGTCCGAATGTTGTTTCTTACACCACTTTGATTAATGGGTATTGTTCAGTTGGTGGAATAAGGGATGCGTGGAAGGTGTTTGATGAAATGCTTGACAGTGGTTTAGAGCCTAACTCGATGACTTATAGTATTTTGATTCGCGGGTTTCTTCGGGAAAGGAATTTGGAAGGTGGGAGAGAATTGATGTGCAGGCTGTGGGAGAGGATGAATTTGGAAGTTGAGTTGGGTGTGAAGGTTGCGGCTTTTGCAAATTTGATTGATTCTTTATGTAAAGAAGGGCTTTTCAATGAAGTTTTTGAGATTGCACAAGTGATGCCATGTGGTGGTAGTTTGTCTGGGGAGGTTGTTTATGGCCAGATGATTGATTCATTATGCAAAGTTGGAAGGTATCATGGAGCATCTAGGATTGTTTATTTGATGAGGAAGAGAGGGTTTGTTCCCAGTGATGTGTCGTATAATTATATCATACACGGTCTTAGCAAGGATGGTGACTGTATGAGGGGTTATCAGTTGTTAGAGGAAGGAGCTGAATTTGGATTCTCGCTCTGTGAGCATACTTATAAGGTATTGGTGGAAGCTCTTTGTCATGCATTGGATGTGGATAAAGCAAGGGAAGTTCTTAAACTCATGTTGTATAAGGAAGGTGTTGACAAAACTAGGATTTTCAATATTTACTTGAGAGCTCTTTGTCTTGTAAACAATCCAACAGAGCTTTTAAATGTGCTTGTGTTAATGCTTGAGAGCCAGTGTCAGACTGATGTGATTACCCTCAATACAGTTATCAATGGGTTTTGCAAGATGGGAAGGGTCGATGAAGCTTTAAAAGTGTTGGATGACATGTTGATGGGTAAATTTTGTGCACCGGATGTTGTGACCTTCACTACATTGATTTCTGGTCTATTGGATGCTGAAAAAGTCGACGAGGCTCTTGACTTGTTCAAAAGAGTGATGCCTAGAAATGGTTTGAAGCCTAGTGTTGTATCGTATAATGTTCTTATCAGAGGACTGTACAAACTTCAAAGACCGAATGATGCGTTTGGGGTTTTTAATAACATGGCTACTGATGGCATTAGTCCCGATAGTACTACTTATACAGTTATAGTAGAAGGTCTATGTGAATGTGATCAAATAGAAGAGGCAAAGAGGTTTTGGCAGAGTGTTATATGGCCTTCAGGGATCCATGATAATTTTGTTTATGCAGCCATTCTGAAAGGGCTCTGTGGTTCTGGCATGTTTATTGAGGCTTGCCATTTCTTGTATGAATTGGTAGATTCTGGGGTGTCTCCAAATATATATAGCTACAATATTGTGATCAACTGTGCTTGCAATCTAGGTTTCAAAAGAGAAGCTTATCAAATTATAAGAGAGATGAATAAGAATGGAGTGGCCCCTGATTGTGTGACATGGAGGATTCTTCACAAGCTACAAAGCAAAGTGAGGAAGCACACTCCTTCTGAAGATCCAACCTTCTCAACAATTTATGAGGGTGATGATGTCGATCCTAAAGGAAGTCAGGATAGGAGAAAATGGAATTCTGTCTGCACTTCAAACGGTAACCCTATGGCTTATAATACATGTTATGAGAAAATGTGACATTTGGAACAGAGTTGAAAGAGAGTAATTTGAGATGTATTTTGTTAAAAATCATGAAGCTACTTAGGAGGGATGTGACACTGAGCAGTTCATCTATAAACAACTAGTTTATTGATAAAAGACTCTCCAACTGTCAAGCCATGAGATGAATCTTCTACGCGAAGTTCAATCCATCAATCACTTTGTGATAACTAGATGCAATTGTTGATTACGTTTGGAACTGCAATGAGGAGGCAATTTTTTGCGTCAGTGCGTCACAATGCATTACCACCACAGAAGCTATGTCTTGCTGCTTCATATTTGTGTCAAGGTGACAGGAAAATATTGCATCCATTCAACCATCACGACGGTAATTTGGAATGTGAAACGAAAGATAAAACGGAAAGGAAAATATTGCATTAATTTAGCCATCACAAATTCACAACGCACAGTTTGATTTGAGACTTGAAAGAGCATAAAGTACATTTTGTTGTTCTAGAGGAATGAAAATAAATAAGGTTGAAGGACACAAATTACAATTTTTCCAGAGTTCTAAACAATGAAGAAACTGGAATCAAATTTTCATGTTAACATTTTTTACTCTTGTAATGCTTCAGAATAACATCTTCAAATTTGTTTGGTTATGTAACTGTTATTTTACTTTTTTTATCAATCACATTATCCTTTTTATGAAATATTTTGTAGCTACTGTGATAAATGTTTGCCAAATAAATATTTTAAAAGAGAGATAATATGAAACTATGCTGCTGCCTGGGATATGAACCCTGAATCAACAGGTCATATCAGATGAGTTGTTCACTCCACTCAAATTTTAGAAAATAAAATATATAAAAAAGAAATTAAACTAAATAAGAAATCT